CAGGAGAAAGAACATAATAACCATCCTAAATAAGCTGACTGTCTGAAGTTTTATTACGATGTGTTAATAAAGAGTGCACAGCGCATGGCTTGGTAAAGATGGGGGCACAGTATGGCTGTTGTGTGCCTGATAGATACTTCAGCCTCATACAGTGACGGCGATTAAGAAGAATTGAGGAAGAGAGAGATGGAGAACTGCTAACAGGATTGATTTCCTGTGAATGTGGAGTGAAAAAGGGCAGGGAACAACTGCTGCAGCCAAGTGCAGAGCACATACAGCATCTCCACTCCCACACAGGGAGCAGATCAATAGATTTGACAACACACACACACACGCACAGACTGTGCACAGTGAGAGTCACCGCTGGTTACACAGGAAGAAAGGCTCTGCTGTCACTCTCTCAAAAGTAAGTCAGGAGATGGCGTCTCTTTTGATGTACTATACTTTTATCCAGGTATATGCTCTTTCTACACCATTCTTGGCACAGAAATCTCAGCTTTCATTTCTAACCTGGTTTCTTCTTCTACATACAGAGGGTTCAAAAAGTCCACTAGTGAAAATGCTTCTATTTTGCATTCTTGTCCAATTTGACATGTATTTGTAATGTAAATGTCTTAATATCTGGTATGTACCCATTTAGCTTTAATGTCACCAACACTCAACCTGCATGAACGCCACAAGTTTGTGTAAAACTAGATGATCCTCCAGCATCAGAATCAGAATCAGAATCAGAATCAAAAAGAGCTTTATTGCTAAGTATGTTTGCACATACAAGGAATTTGTTCTGGTGACAGAAGCTTCCAGTACACAGAGACAACAACAACACCACACAGATAATAAGAAATAAAAATATGTGAATAAAATACACACACACATATATATGATAGGTCCAGTGATGTCCTTCAGATAAGCCAACACTAGTCTCTCAAACGATTTCATGACCACAGATGTTAGGGCAACAGTTCTATAATCATTAAGTCCTGTGATTTTGGGGGTCTTCGGAATGGGGATTATGGTGGAGCGTTTGAAGCAGGCAGGGACTTCGCACAGCTCCAGTGATCTTCAACA